CCAGAGGCGGCGGGGAGGCGTGGCGATGGTCCTACACTCGTGACACAGGCTGTCCTTTCCCTGTCTCTCTGCAGGGGCCTGTGAGGGCCTCCAGCGTCTTCCCCATTCTCAGCGTCACGCTGCTCTTCTTCGGCGGCTCTGCGTGGCGGCCAGCGAGTTCCACCGCAGCAGGCACAATGTCATCCTCAGCGCGGGCATCTTTTTTGTCTCTGCAGGTGAGCACCGGCCCCGCCCTGAGATCCGCACAGACACCACACCCGGCCAGGGCCGGGGCAGGGCAGTGCTGCTCAGGGCTCCCTCCAGGGAGAAGCAGGAAAACGTTCGCTTGTTATGTTAGGAAGGAGGGCCCGCGGACTTTAATCAGAACAGAGATGCTGACACTCGGGAGGGGTGGCGTGGAGGAAAGACGGGAGGCGACGTGCAAGGTCAGCTCAGGGGGCAGGACTGAGGGGTGCCCACGCTCACACAAAGGCGAGGGGCCTGAATGGCATTTGGCCTGAGAGACGGGGTCCGTGTGTTTGAAACGTGTGTTTGAAAGGGTCCAACTTCCGCTCACTGGGGCCTCTTCGCACACGATGATCTCTGGCCGTTTGAGGTATGTGCCTGCTGGTTAACGATTGCTCACCGCTCTTCAAGGGCTCAAAGCTGCAGATCACTCAAAGCATCTCTGGGAACAAGGCAAAGCCAGCAGCGCCAGACGCTGCCAGGGGAAGAGTTAGTCCACAGCAGCCCTGAGCAGAGGAGGCCCAGGAGATGAGAGACAAGCTGCAGGAAGGGCCTGCTCTCTGCCTGCTCTCTCCTCCCTTGTCTCCACTCTCCTCATCTTCCCCTCGCTACTCTGTGTTTCCTCCCATCTCCTCCCCTCCACTCCCCACCTCACCACCACTCCCCACCCCCCACCATGACATCGGATGCAATGCTTTACAAAAGCAAAGAGCAGGCAGGGGCTGGGGAGGGGGCTGCATCTTTGGCGAACACCTCAAGCTTTGCCAATAATGGCGGGATAGTTCTTGGGAGGGGAAGACTGGGGAAGAGCATAAAGCGGTGGAGCTTACCTCCAGGATTTGCATTCTGCTCCTCCACCTGCGGGGCCTTGGGAACCCTACCAACTCCCTGTAGCTTGCTTTCCTCGCCTGTAAAATGGGAAATAATAATCCTTCCTTACTTCATAGGGTTGTTGAAAGTAGGTTGAACATAAAAAGCACAATATCACTGTCTAGTATTGGCAAAGCAGCAAAGGTACAGTCCTGGCCCCTGCAGGACCTCCCCGCTGTGTCCCCTTCTGTGAAATGAGGAGGTTGGACCTCACTGCCCTGAGGCTCTGGGAACCGGCTCCAGCAACAGACCACAGAACACTGCCATCCTGCCCCGGGGCTGTGGTCACCCAAAGGAGCGCCCGTCACACGTTGCTTAGAGGCGTGTTCTAGTCTCTGGCAGCCCGACCAGGCCCCTGGGCGCCCACAGAAGGGATGCCTTGTGCTGAGGGGAGGGTTCCGGCAGGAAGATCCTGACTGTGTGCCCCAGGGGATTGCTAGGGAGGCGTGTCACCGGCAGTGGAGGAGCTGGGGCTGGCTGGCTGATCAGGTACAGGGAGCTGGGAACCTGCGGGAGGGGGAGCAGGAGCTTGGGGTCCGATCCCAGGCCACCTCCCCCACGGATCTCCGCAGGGAACTACAGGTTTTCCACCTAAAAAATGGAAGTTCCCGAGGACTCAGCACTCTCTGAGGCTCTTTTTCGCTCAGGTATTCTGCCCACCTGTGGTCTCAGACAAGCAGTCAACCCTTTACTGGGCACCTCCTCTGTGCAAAATGCTGAAGAGCCTGGGCTCTGGAGCCAGGCTGCCTGCTGCAAAGCTCGGCTCTCCTACTTCCGCCTGTGTGACCTCGGACAAGTCTCTTAACCTTTCTGTGCCTCAGTTTCATCTGAAAAACGGGGCTAATAATGGCTCTACCTCTTCAGGCTGTTGAGGGATTAAATGTGTTGGTATAAAGTGCCTAGAACTGCCCAGCACACAGCAACTTCTCAATACATAGGAGCTGCCATTCTACACCTTGATCCATGTCATTCTTATGCCGTCTCAGTTCACTCACTCGACCCCCAAATATGCCCTGCACGCGTGCTGCGGGCCCAGCTCTGGGGGGGGGGGGGGGGGGAGAGGGGCACAGCAGTGATCAGAACTAGCCTCGGCCCTGCCCGCAGGGAGCTGACAGCGGGCAGAAGGAGGCAGCGGCTGCCCACTCACCACTGGTGCTTCGTGAGCTTGGTCAACGGGATCTCAATCCACCTGGGCTGAGGGATCGCCCTTGGCTCGCATCCCACCCACATTTCCTGGCCGTGTGGGCACGGGAGGTGCCTCCTGCCCTCTGTCTCGGTCTTGTCATCTGTGGGAGAGGGGACTTTTCCACGCGGCCGCTGCCGTGGCTGCCTGGTGCACGCAGACCGCCCAGGGCGGCGCACAGGAAGTGCCCGAGACCGCCTGTTTCCGCCTCCTTTCACCTGATCTGACCTCGGAGCCTCTCTCTGAACTTCGTTTTTTCTGGCAAGACTTCCACTTGGAGCTTCCAATGTGTTCCCGCCGCAGGGGAGTCGGGCCACAGTGAGAAGCTGAAATGTCTTTGTCTGTCTCCCTTTGACACTTAAGACTTCCGCTCCCCCCTCCTCATTATATTCATGTTCGTTTTAATGTGAAGACTGGGCCTGCCCTACTGAGCCTCGAGCTGGTGCTCCGGAGAGGAGGCCTCCCTCCTGTGGGTGCTGCAGCCGGGCCGGCCTGACAGGGCCAAGCCCGCACTGAGACTAGCTCAGTACTAGCGCCTGCCCGCCAATGCCTGTCGGAGTCCTGCCAGGAGGAGACGGTAGAAGCAGACCGGCCTGCCCTCAGGGGCCAGGCCTGATGGAGTGTGGCCAGAGACCTACCCAATGTGAAGGCCCCTAGTGCGCGGGCACCAGCCGGGCAGAATGGCAGCACGGAGCAGGCCCCTGCTTTTCACCTTTCAGGGGCTGGACCATGGGGAGACCCTGGGGATCCCCGGGAAGCGTACGGGGTGCTCGGGGAGGGGAGGGGAGAGTCAGGAGGCCCTGACGATGATTGACCAGCGAGTGCGGGAAGGACAGTGAGGGCGCTGCAGGTGGTCTAAATGTGGAGGCCAGGAGACTCCAGCGCTGTACCCACCTCTCGGAGTCACTGCTGGTATCGAGGCCCTTGAAGCAAAGGAACAAAGGGAGACATTCGGCCTTTGGAGCAGTAATGGGAGGGAGGTGGTCAGACATGCGCTCAGCCCGGGGCCCGGGTTCTGTGGCTTCCTCTTCCCACTCCCTGGAGAGCCGGCTCCTCCCCGACGCCTCTGCAGCCACCGCCGTGCTGGCCTGCTGGCACCTGGGGACACTAAGTGGGGACCTTGCCTACTGGGCAACAACTTCATGCCCCCAATCCGATGCTCCAGCAGCAGCTAATCGACAGCACTACCTTACCCTTAGAGGAGACTTGGGGGCCCCTGTCCCTTCCCCGCAGGCTCCTTAGTTCCCCAAACCGCAGTGCAGCTCCACACACATCCACTGGACAGCAACCAACTCCATGTGTCCAAATCTCTCCCCTCCTCTCCTCTCCTTTCTTCTCCTCTCCTCTCCTCTCCTCTCCTCTCCCCTCCCCTCTCTCCCCTCCCTCCCCTCCCCTTTCTCTCCTCTTCTCTCCTCCCCTCCCCTCCCTTCTTCTCCTCTCCCCTCCCTTCCCTTCCCCTCCTCTCCTCTCCCCTCCCCTCCCCTCCCCTCCCCTCCCCTCCCCTCCCCTCCTTTACCCTCCCCTCCTCTCCTCTCCTCTCCTCTCCTCTCCTCTCCTTTTCTCAAAACCTGTTCTCTCTGCTGCCTCTTATTTTAGCTCAAGATGCCAGCAGTGTCCCCATGACTCAAGCTGGAGCCTTGTAAGTCATTCTTTCTCTCACTCCCTGGGCCATGGCCTTTCATCGCCTGGCTCACGCCTCCTCAAATTCAGGGCCCAGCTTGAGTGTGACCTTGTCTTCAAAGGGCAGTGGCTGCGTCATCTCTCTCCTTGGCTCCTGAGCCACTTGTCCATGTCTCTGGGAGAGCCCTCCTGTCTTCTGCTCCAATTGCATTCACATATCAATCCCTCCTGCGAACGGGAGGACTCAAGGGCAGGGACTGCACCTCATTCATTTTACCATCCTCATGGCTTCCTGCTGGAGACTGCGTGTCGGTGGAGCGAACTGGTTCTCAGGGGGCAGTCGCGCATCCCGAGTGGGAGTCAGCTGAGTCTTAGCTGAAGGCCACCGCCCGGGACTGAGCTCAGGTCCCAGGGACAGACGCGGGAGAGCTCAGCAGGCTCAGGCTTCCCGCCACAAATCCTTTCCTCTCGCTCCCGTTCCCTCCACATCTTCCATAAACATCCCAAGACTGCAAGTTACCACTGAGGCTTATAAAAGATGCGTTTCTCTTCCCTTCTCTTAGGGTTAAGCAACATCATTGGCATCATAGTTTACATATCGGCCAATGCTGGGGACCCCGGGCAGCGCGACTCCAAGAAGAGCTACTCGTACGGCTGGTCCTTCTACTTCGGAGCCTTCTCCTTCATCATCGCCGAGATTGTGGGGGTGGTCGCCGTGCACATCTACATAGAGAAGCACCAGCAGCTGCGCGCCAGGTCCCACTCGGAGCTCCTGAAGAAATCGACTTTCGCTCGCCTGCCACCCTACAGGTACAGGTTCCGGCGGCGGTCCAGCTCCCGCTCCACGGAGCCCAGGTCCCGAGACCTGTCCCCCATCAGCAAAGGCTTCCACACCATCCCCTCCACCGACATCTCCATGTTCACCCTCTCCCGGGACCCCTCAAAGATCACCATGGGGACCCTCCTCAACTCCGACCGGGACCACGCTTTTCTACAGTTCCACAACTCCACGCCCAAAGACTTCAAGGAGGCGCTGCACAACGACCTGGCCAACAGGCGCACCACGCCGGTCTGACTGCCTCTCGGCCCCCGCCAGGCAGCCGGGCGGGGAGGGGGGTGCACAGGTGTCGCTGAGGTTGCATGGCATGGTCCTCGTGATGGTATTATTTTTTACAAAGAGTGAAACCAAATGGATCGGCCCTGTCCCACCCTCTGCCCCTCACCCTCCAGGCCCTAACCCTCTGCTCCCCCCGATCTCCAAGCCCATCCCGACGCGTCCTCTCTGTGTATCTGTGCCGAGTGTCTCCCTCCTTCCTTCTTCCCTGGAAGGACCTCCACCTTCCTCCCTCCTGGGAATAGGATTTCACTGAGTCACAGGTGGTGGCTTGGGGGGATCCCCGAATACCCAGGCGTGTGCACAGCTGTCCCGATTGTCCCCTCACACAGATCCTCAGGACACCAACCGCCCAGTGGCCCTGGGGAGGCATTCACCTTTCCGTGTTAGAGAAACATGACCAGAAATCAAAGCTGCGGAGCCCCGGAGCAGCTCCTGTAATAAGCACTCATGTGATTAAAGGTTCTGCGTGCCAACCGCCCAAGGTGTTGTTGCTTCCGGTCCTCGCTGCGAAGCTGGCTGCCCCGCTGAGCTGGAGGCCCAGCTCTGCTCAGCTGCACGCTGGCTGGCAGGACGATCCCTGCACCTCCTGAGGCAGCGAGGCGCTCCCACCAATGTCAGAGTCGGTGTGGCCCCCACCTGGATCCCGGGGCCAGCATGTGCTCTGAAGCCTGGCTCTCGGACCCAGTAGCTCTAGGATCTTGGGCAAGTCCACCTACACTTCAAGCCTCAGTCTCCTCATCTGAAAAATGGAGCATGGTTTAGTGCTGTTCTCCATGGGGTTGTGAGGCTTAAATAAAACACCACAGGTAGAGTGACTAGCACATTGTACATTATACATGTGCGTACATATGTAATTTTTGGATGGATTCGGGAGCGAATGAGCATGGCATTCGCCTGCTCAGGCCGCCGTAACAGAGCCCCATAGGCTGTGTGGCTCTAACAGCAGTTACTTCTCACAGTTCCGGAGCTGCACGGTCAAGAGCAGGCGCAGCCGATTGGGTTCTTGATGAGGACTCTTTTCCTGGCTTGCAGCCGGCCACCTTCTCTCAGATCGCAGAGAGAGGGTGAGTTCGAACTCTTTCTCTCCCTTCCTCCTTTTACAAAGCCACTAATCCCATCACCAGGGCCACACCCTCATGACCTCATCTGACCCTAACCCTCCCCAAAGCCCCACCTCCAAATATCCTCACCTTGGGGTGAAGTTAGGGTGGGGCACCATCCAGTCCATGGCCAATGGGCTGTTCCCTATTGCAGGGAGGGGAGTGCTTGCACAGGCTCAGAGGGTGTTGGGGGAGAAAGTGGAAGAACTTTTGAATATTTTGAATGTTTGCAGTCACCTCCACCGACACTGACTTTCTGGAGTTTGAGGCACACCCCAGCACTCTCCCTTCCAAGAGCTACGGTCCCAGAGCTCACACTTCCCTGATGCGGCTTGTGCTAGGCTGTGTCCCAGCACTGCACACATACCCCACCGTTTCACCCTCCCGGCAGCGTCCCCGCTTACCCAGAGGAAGCTGAGGCGGAGAGGTGACCGGCTGCCCAGACTGCACTGCCACCGTGGGACAAGAGACCTGAAACTAGTCACGTGTCCACACTCACAGAGCGAACTTGGTTGTCAGGCACAGATAGCAACAGTCCATGTTAACACTCCAGAGTCCCTGTGTTCAACCTGCACTCGCACCCATCAGGTGACCTCACTGACCCTGACCGTGTGTAGTGGGAATCATCACCCGCTTCGGCAGGTGAGGAAGGAGAGGCTCGGCACAGCACGCGTCTTAGGAGCCAGCGAGCAGGGCCAGCGTTCCCATCCGAGCCTCCGCTCTAACTTGACTGATCTCCGAACCTCAGTTACTGATGGAGTGAAACCCCCGTGAAGTTTCATGTGCACACACCACATCGACGATCACTTACCTAATGTTTCTCTGGAAATTGGCTCAGTTTCTACTTCAGTTCTTGAAACTGAGCTTTATAGAACTACTCTCAAAAGGTAATTGCCAGTAGAAATAGTAACTGGGAAAGTAAATACAATGGAACACCACAATCACACCATATTCTAGCTGCAGGCTGTTCTGCTCTTTGTGAAAATGTATCACCCAGGTGTTAGAAAGATGCTGAAGGTATTCTCACACCAGAGAAAAGCTTCCCTTGGCTGGACCAGCAGGATCAGAGGAGGCCTGGAAAGGGGGTCGCTTTCTCTCTAGGGGTCTGCTGCTCTCTAACAGCCGGCCACGTCACATCAGGGATCTCATCCCGCCCGCACTTGGGAAAAGTGGCTGAGGCCCTGTGAGGAGGGAAGGATCTTAGCGATGCATTGAGTAGCTGATGAATACTGTGAGGTGGGAAAGGCAACTCGCAGCCCTGGGAACTAGAAGTTTGTCAAAAACAGGGCATCTGGGGAGTTGGTCAGAGATGGAGAGAAAGATCCCAGGGTACAGAGATGCCTGCTCTGGAGACTGAGGTACGAAGCCCGCTTGCAAAGTCCAGAGATGGGAGTGGGAGGGGGAGAGATGGAGGCCCTGAGCCCTGGAAGGACCCTCACACGCACAGCTGCTAACCCTGGTCTTTGCAAGGCTTTGGCACATGGCCTCAGAGTGCCTTCGATTAAAAAGTCCTCATCTAGACACAGCTGGTAGCATCAAATCCTATATAATAAAAGCCTAATATGCTAAGTGTCTGGTCATCCGGTCAGCCATTCAACCAATCAAAGCGTAATATACTAATGATATGCTAAGGCCGCTCAACCACTCACTATGACGTGCACTGACCACCAGGGGGCAGATGCTCCGACCAGTAGGTTAGCTTGCTGCTGGAATCTGGCCAATCGGGACTGAGTGAGATGGGCCAGACACGCCCTAGAGCCCTCCCGAGGTCCCTCCCTGGCTGGCCAACCTCCCATGTCCCTCCCCAGCCCCAATCGTGCACCAGTGGGGTCCTTCGGCCTGGCCTGCGCCCTCTCGCAATCTGGGACCCCTCGGAGGATGTCAGAGAGCTGGTTTTGGCCAGATGGCGGAATGACTGGTCGCTATGTTGCACACTGACTACCAGGGGGCAGATGCTCAATGCAGGAGCTGACCCTGGTAGTCAGTGCACTCCCAAAGGGGGAGTGCCACTTAGCCGGAAGCCGGGCTCACGGCTTTGTGAGTGCAGTGGAGGTGGCAGGAGCCTCTCCTGCCTCTGAGGCAGCGCTAAGGATGTCCGACTGTCAGACATCCACCGAGGGCTCCCAAACTTCGAGAGGGCACAGGCTGGGCCAAGGGACCCACCCCCACTGAGTGCACGAATTTCGTGCACCGGGCCTCTAGAGATATTAATATTAACACTCCGGCTCACAGCCAGGTCCTGGGCAATCCTGGTCCTCCAAACCCCTGTGAAGAGTATTCACTTCACCAGGTCCCCATGTGTGTGCCAAGCAGTGTGCCATGAACTCCTGTTCTGCCGAAACCGGTTTGGCTCAGTGGATAGAGCGTCGGCCTACGGACTGAAAGGTCCCAGGTTCGATTCCGGTCAAGGGCATGTACCTGGGTTGTGGGCACATCCCCAGTGGGAGGTGTGCAGGAGGCAGCTGATCGATGTTTCTAACTCTCTATCTCTCTCCCTTCCTCTCTGTAAAAAATCAATAAAATATATTTAAAAAAAATAAAAATAAAAAAATGAACTCCTCTTCTTTTCTCATTTCATTCTAACCTTTGAGGCAGGGGCGATTGCTAAACCCACAGCTAGATGTCATGCAGCTCCCTTCCCCAGCCCACTCGTTTCTGGCCCAGCAGTCTCCTCGAGACCAGAGCCACTGTGTCTCCCTTGCATGCTTCTCCGTCCTGCTGCCCCAGAACTGACCTTTTGCCAAGTCATGTCTCTGCCTTTCGGGAGGGGAGAGGCAGCTTGACATAGCATGCAAGCCCACAGACTCTGTGTCTGCCCAGAGTTTAATGCCAGCTCTGCATTTATCAGCCAGAAGAACTCCCTGTGCCTCAACTTCCCATCTGTAAAATGGACACAAAAACAGTACTTACCATAATATTTTAATACTGTTCTCAGATTTACATTTTTCCTGCTTGGGCCCTTTTCAACCTAGACCATCTTACTTTCCAAATCATGTAAACACACACTTCTTCTCCCATCAGGCCAGTGCCCACATTGTACCCTGCTACACCATACTTTTTCCCAACTCCCTGACATTTCTGCCTGAAATGTTTTTCCTTGCTCTCTCCAAATGCTGTCCATACTTCAAGACCAAGATCCCTTCCATAAAGTCTTCAGTGACTCCTAGGCCACATAATCTCTTGCTTGTTGGCATTCATTCACTCATCATTTATTCAGTCATTCATTCAGTCATTCATTCATTTATCCATTCAGCTAGCACGTATTATCCAGTGCCTACTATGTGTCAGAAATAGCCATGTCTCAATGGATATGACCACTGTCCTCATGGAACTCTCAGTGCAGTGGGAGAAACAAGCACTAAATGAGTACATGCAAAAATCAACATCATTTGAAATTGTGATCTGTGTCATCAGGGCAAAATATAGTGTACAGAGTACAAAGGAATATAAACAGGGATCTCTAATTTTGATGAAGGGTCAAAGAAGTGGACATGACATTTATAAGAAGACCTAAAGGAAGATTGGAGTTGTCTAAGTAAAAAGAAGAGAGTGTGGAGGAAGAAAAAAGCATGTGCAAAGGCCCTGAGACCCCACCTAGTGAATGGACATGACCATGAATTAGGTACGACCTTGCCCCCAGCCACAGCTGATTGGACCACAGATTGCACCTGATCTAAAGCTAGCCAATTCATTTATAGGGTGGCCAGTGGTCCATGGTTTATGACTGGACATAAAAGGTAAACTGAGTCAATCAGGTGATCTCTGCTGGAAATTTTAATTAAGAGATGCAGAAAGCAGTTGCTACTGGCCAGGGGAAGCAGAACAGAAAAGAAATAAGGACATTATGCGACTAGAGCA